GCGTCCAAACGCGTCGGTTTCTGAGGGCTTGGACCAACGCGGGTTAACTTGTCCTCCCCGGAACCCCTCAGCTCAAGTCAGCTCAAAGGTCACATAAAATCGTAGGAGGGTAGGTTAATGTTTCCCTTAACGGATTCTTGACTGTACCTAACCACCTGCGGTGGGCACGGCTTAGGTGGATTAAAGAAGGGGGTGGTAAAAAAAATCTAAACAAGAAAACATGTTTAAAACACTAACATTACGACGAGCAAAAAGACTTGGTGGAACATAGAAAAAGCCGTGCCCACGCTCGCGTGGTTAGGTTCAGCCAAGAATCCGTTTAGGGAAACTCCAACCTACCCCTTGAAATCTGCGACTTTACTTGACCTTAAGTGTGGGGGCTCAGTCATCCAACCTGGTTGATCACCCGGCACTTGGACTCGATTTCCCTTGGCACGGTCTTAGTGAACAAACAAATGCCCCCGCAAATTGGCACATTGCGTTGCCGTAAATGATACTGGTACCTTGTGAATCGGACTTGACATCACCGCCCTCACGTGCCCACTCGCACTAACAAAAAACTCCTCGTCGGTTAGAATGAGGTAATGTACAAGTTCCCAAAACCCAGGCGTCCATGTAAAGCGTATTGGGTTCAGATGAAATGTTGAGCAACGAGCACCAAGGAGAAAAGTGCAAGTGGGCATGCAGCACAAGTTGGATGCAAACAACAAACTTTGAAAGCAGGGATTCTTTCTTGAAGCCACTTCTTCCATCTCAGTTTGAGAGTTTGCGTTCCTGGGGCCTCTTGAAACAGGCGACTCGCCTTAATGAGTCTAGAAATGCAGATTGTTGGTGATAATCCTTCGAGGAAGAACTGCGATGACACGAGCGTCTAACTAATCTATGGTTGGCGCCAATGCGCTGGTTTCTTGCTCCGACGAAAGGAAAAATCCCCTTGTGTGATTTCCATTCCATGAACTGCGAAGAAATCGAATGCGACTGCGCCGAGCCGGTCTGCGATGACCGGAGGGCCCGCGCTTAAAATCGGCGGAACGATAGCCGCACTCATCTTCCAGCAGGACCAAGCTCATTCTGAAGGGTGCAATTTGCCTGGCTTTCGCAGGGCGTGTATATCAACCCTATCGTCTGAACCACAGCGAAAGACAAACAAGGGCGCCCGTCGTTTCATGCAAGCAGAACAGAGTTGATCCCCGCTGGGACATATGTCTCTTGCGTTGACGACACCGGCTCTTGGTGAACTCGTGAGATCGCATCTCGGGCGACGGACGCAACTCTGGACAGGGGACGTGTCATAAACGTGGTTTGCTACTTTCTCGTTCCCGCAACCCGCCTGCCAGTCACATGAGTGC